GGAACACGTTTTAAAATTATGCAGTGCAAGAAAAGTTTTAGTGGGACATGAGATGAGATTTTAAGATGAGAATAGTAACCAAGCCTTAAAAGCCTTTCTGGACTGACCTTAAAAACCCCATAAATAAGTGAATTTATGACTACTGTTCCCAAACACTGCTAGTTAAGACACAGGTGATCTGACACTGGTTTGCCATTCTTTTCATACCTACAGGTATTGGGAAACAGAAGTTAAGTGACAAAAAACAGTTTTGTCAGAATACCAAAAAAAACTCCAAAACCCACACAATCAAGTTCTGATGATTATCAGCACACTTGCAAAAGAAAATGCTAAGTCCCCAGAAGAGAAGCATTCTGTAACAGCTTATTTTTGGTTTCGTTTGTTTGTTTGTTGGGAAGAAGGGGAAATCTTTTTTAAAACAAAAACAAAAACAAAAAAAACCTAAAAACCAACCAACCAACTAAAAAACCGAAAAAAACCCAGGCCAAAAAAAAAAAAACAAGCCCCAAAAACTACTGTGAAAGGAGATTTTTAAAACTTCAGCTTTGTTGTCCATCTAGCTCCTGGAAAATTATGCAATAACAACAGTACTTCCTAGCATGGAAACCTCCTGGCCTCTAGGTAACTTTGCAGGTGGCAGAACATTCCCCCTTTACGAAAGTATAAAAGGATAAATACAAAAATGGGATTTGCATATTAGCTGACAAATTAAAATAAACTCCTAAAAGCTAATTAAAATTCCTAAATTAGCTAAATTCCTACATTAACTAAATATAAATTCCTACAAAACCTCAAAACACTTTCACACATAAAGGAAAGTTGTAAAAAGAAGCTTACTCTGGTTCAATAACACCACGTTGTGGGGTTATAGTAAGGCAGTGAGCTGGCCATGAAAGCTCAAATGTCAATGTCCTATTAGAATTGTTGACAAGTTCTACATGTCCAGTATCTGTTGTTCCACCTGGAATTAAAAAAAGGTATAAAAAACGAACATGTACAAAAACCCACAGAAGTGTCCAAGATTCAGAGATGTATCAGTTAAGATAAAGCTTTTCTGACCTACTTTTACCTTCACAATGCTTTGTAATCTTCATGGTATGCAGTACATATTATATGTACACACACACAGAGCACACTACCTCTAACAATTTAATCAAAACTGGGTTCAAAGTCTATTGTTTAGATGTAACACTATTGCAGGAAGATTATTGGCCAAGCCACATTTACCAAGACAAAATAATTAGAAACATGGTATGCAACACAGTCATTTTACTACTAGAATGTTTATTTTATTCACTTCAAAAATACTTACTGATAGATGGAGATGTCAAAGTCAAGTACTCAGGTTTAACAGTCCAAGTCTGTTGAGTGACTGATGTATTCTGAACCAGATCATCAGTTTTTACAGGTAATGAAGGACCCTGAGGTCCTTTAACAGGAAGAATATCCAAAGTTGCACTGATATTTCTAATGAAGTTCTCGAATCTGAAAACAAGATTGCAGTAAGCATTAGAACACACTCAGATCTCTTCTAACTGTTACAGTCTACTCAGGAAATCAAGATCCTCACGATGCCTAGACAGAATAAATTCAGATCTAGAAGAACTGATAAGGCTATCAAGTGGAAAAAAACAAATGACAACCACCAGATAAGAGAAATGTCCTGCTTGCTGCTGCAGATATTTGATTACAACTTCTAGCTTCACAATTCCGCTATGCGTGACAAAAACCTAGCTTGTCGATAAATCTGTCAGGTGTTCAGCATCTGGAGTTCAACAGGTACAAGAAATTCCAAGACAACATCTACATACGTGGCTGTTAAACACAACATGACTAGGTAGGACCCTTTCTTCACCTAGGTAGCTGTATCTTGAGAAGAATAAAACATGAAGACTCAAGAAACAGCCTATGCAAATATATTACTTATAATATTAATGTCAACCCATCTTTATTTTGTTTTTATGCTACACTATCTCAGTAAGTAAGACTTGTACAGAATTAGGATGTTTCTTTCCCTTTTCAAGGCTACCAAATGCTGCAGCAACCTGTTTCAACAGAAGTGGCAAGTCCATTTTAAAGACCAGATCTCTGCCAGTCCTCAAAGAAATCCTCCCAGTACTGGACCACTGTGAGTGAGGAGGGTAACAGTAGCCTCAGCACTAACCATTCTTTCGATAAGTACAGCACACACTGCACCGAGAGGCTGGCACAGAGCCCAGGCAAGGGAAAGGTCATTAAGCCTTCATAATACATCTCTATTTCTATCCCAGACATCAAAAACTCATTACAAGGAATGAAGTCCTATTAGGATTACAACAAATGCACTTTGGAAATGTGTATGTATAAGAACCAAACCAACCAAAAACCAGCAAAACATTTCTTCAGATGAGGAACAGAAGTTGTGGGAATAGTTTAGAAGTTACTGTAACAGTTTAAACAGGCAAGATAGAGAAAAATAGTGAGAAGAGCCACCTAGATATTCATTCTAGAGCCAGCTCTTTCACTTGTAAAGCAAGTCAGTTCTCATTACTGAGATGAAAATCTTGAATGAAAGCAGATGCACTTCAGTTAGGTGTTATCTGACAGTTACACTTATAATTATATTACCTCTGTGATTCCAAATCATGTCCAGGAGACTGCTGAAATCCATCCTGATCAAAAACAGAATATCCAATCACAGAAAGGATAATCTTTTGCATATTTGCATAAAAAAGATAGATATGATTTGTCCTCCGTGGAATATCACATACTAAAAATGAAAGTAACAGAGCAATTCTAATAAGAAAAAAAAAATCTATAATACTCAGAAATTACACAACAGAGATTCAGGATATAGACCCAGTTAATAATCTGTTTGCTAATATCTCCTAGATCAAAAAATTACTTACTACAAATTCACTTATCAGGCACAAGTCAACATTAACATGAGATGTAACATAAATCTAAAGAGACACCAATTTTAACTTTTTAATTGTAAGATATATATTTTCCACCTTTAGACAGATGGTATAAAACTATAATTTAGCATAGAATCAGATTAGTAAAGTCTTCCTTTTTTTTTTTTCACCCTAACAAATACAGCTCATACATTCAAGGTTCAACTTGAGAAGTTATTTTTCCATCACTCAGTCTATTAAATCTAACACTTGATTATTTAATTTATTATACCTGTAAATATCCAAAAGGTCAGGAATGTAAGAGTATGATTGAAAAATAAAATGTTTTATCAAAATGTTTAATAATTAAGTCAGTTTTCTCCTTTGCTTTGAGCCATTTTAATGTTGAACAGACAGAATGAAGAAGGGAACACTTCTAACACAGGATACACTTGATCCAACCATTATTTCCTTTGCTGTGGAGTAGATAGCAGGCACCATTAATAATATTTGTATATATTAGCTCACCTATGGCTAAGCTACTGTTAAGACAGAGTAATATCATTCATAGAAGTGTTTTTAGTTAGAATTTACACATATCCAGAAACTTGATAACAAAGCTAGGTCTTGCAAAAGGATGTCCAGCAGAATGTGTTTTTTGGAACAAATATTTTATCCTGTTATATGTATAACTAAATTCAATATAGAAATATATTCTCTCATTAGGATGACGATTACTTGTACTCTAAGTTTCTTGTATTCCCCCTCGCACCCTCCAAGTCATAGGCTTACCTTCTGTCACAAGCTGCTCCCCTTGAAATTCTTCATCAAATACGATGTTTCTCAATAAGCTGTTTTCTGAGATTATGTGTTTTTCTGCCTCAGGGTTGTACAGTATAGCTCTGTTAAAGAGATAAAGAAATAAGAGTCACTGGAAACAACATTTTGAAATAATTGATAAGATTGGCAAGAATCCAGCATAATTTTAACTTTATTATTTCTCAAACACACCAAGCTCAAATCTGTGGTTTTTCGTTTTAAACTGAATCTTTTCATAGTCTTAAAAAGGTTAAAGAAATACCTGCTATGTTGCTGCACAGAAACCAGTGAAATAATGTCTACCATACACTTGTCTTTCCAGGATACTGGTTCTCTGCTGTCAGTCACACCTACCTAGACTTCTGATAAGTACATCAGGCAACCAAGTGATTTTTCTATCACCACAGGAAGCAGGAAAACCCTATTCTGGTTGTGAGTGAATTTGAAGAAAAAGGGACTAGTCAGTGGCAGAGTGGCAGCAGGTGCCAGTCAACAGCAACATGGAGCCAAGGAGCCTGACTGCCAGCAGGACAAAAAAGACTGGGAAGCATGAGGATATAAGTAGTCCTGGCAAAAATGGGAAGATACAGGTCAGTAAGAGGAAACTTGGCACTCAGATATGGTCAGAGCCATGGAAGTGGAAAGAATACCTCAGCACTACTAACTCTCAGGTCTAAGCAACTTTACCAGCCGGCTGACTACGTATGATTTTTGGAACAAAGAACTTGAGCTACAATTTGGCAGACTAGGCAGATCATTCATTTCACATTCCTGCACTTGAGTCCCACATTATATTCTTCTTCTAAGTAGACAATTACAGAACAGGGTTTGACTGTCTTACAGTACTCAGTCATTTCAAGAAATTAGCGTAACTTTCAACTTACCAAGGGAAACTTCAGAGAAGCTCCCACCAAAAAACAACCAACTAGACCATTATGTTCAAGAACCAAATGGCATACCTGCTACTAATGATAACAGCAGCAAATAATCTCATTCACATACCAATGTCCAGAGTCTGGAAACATTTTTTATTCAATGCTACCTGAATAAGTGTGTCTCAAGCTTCTCAATGGGTTCTCTGTTGATCAGTAGATTAAAGCTTTTACTGAAGCAGCACTCTGCCTGTTCTTAACAATTTGCATTATCACTATACACAGCACTAGTCAAAAGTGCCAGTTACGCCATTAAAAGCAGAGTATGCCATTCTTGTGCATTTGGGTTATGCAAATTGAAATGCAGAGTAACAGAGTCTCAATTTAAGCTCAGTAAGATATATTCTACAAATTTCATTGTGTGTTACAAGCATACACAGATGTTATTTCTCTCTCACACACATCTACTCAAATACTGTCTTTGTTAACAGAATTCAGCAACCTAAGGTGCAAATCTTGTTCAAATACTTAATACGTTTGAATTTCAGTACTACTCCTTTCATGAGTATTTTTGTTAAAAATTAAAGTTACATATGTGATGGAAAGAGATACCAAGATAGAACACATCTATTCCCATACAAAACAAAGTGCACATATTTTCCCCAAAATTCAACACATGTAAATTCAAGAACGTAAAAAGAAAATAAAACCCTTAGCTAGGATTGTAGCTACAGTATGTAAACAAAACCAAAATAAACAAACCAACCCCCCACCAAACAACCTACCAGATGTAAGATTTACTACATCTCGCCATATCATCAATGTCTTTTGGTTTGTTCTTGCCATTTTTGGAAGCATGTTAAAACCACTCATGGTAGCATACACCTCTAGTTTTAACTTCTTATTAAACATCTGCCTCCGTAACAATAGCAAAGTACATCTTACCTACGATACTGCTGCCTAGAAACTTCATCTCCACAAAAAAAAACCACTGTTGCTAGCAAAGCATGTATTCCATGGACATTCTCTTCCCTTTCCATTGTATTCCACGTTATAGTAATCACCTGATAAAATAAACAACATACTCAGAAAGAAATAATCTTATTGTTAGTACTAGTTTAGAATCCAAGTCAACAAATGACTGCAATACAAGTGAAAAAGGATTTAACACAATTTAAGTGAGATTTTTAATAAAGAAAGAGTCAGGTGCATTCTCATTGATCACATTTATATTAACTGAAATTATTAAAACATGCTCAGAATCAGGTAGCATACTTACTTCATGTGTTCCTTCTCTTAGTACAAACTTCTCTGGAGATATCGTCATTACCTGAGGATCCACAAGTGTTCTTGTCCGTGTGTTTGCAAAGCACAGTGCTTTAACATAGGCAGCCCGAGTACCTATATTTCTTACACAGAAGGAAGCTTTCCTTAATCTTCCAGGCAATAATCCATCCAGTGTTATAATGTAACTATATGACAGTTTTTTAACATTTTCCAAAGTTACATTGCTTGTTCCTCCATATCCAGATAACGGTATCTGGGGGAAGGAAAAAACCAACCAAAAAAGTACTTCAAATGAAAGAAAGCTTCTTATCAAAACTGTACAACTACGGTAAACTATATAAGGAGTTACAGAACAGCAAATTAAAGTGCTTAAAATGTGAACTGAAAAGACTTTGTAAGAAATAAAAGAAAGCCTAAGTTCATTCAACCTGTTTCAAGTTTTACTAAAAATTAATTTAAGGCCTACCTATAAAACAATACAAGTTCAGATTTTCTGACAGTTCTTGAGTTAAAGTCTTGTGCTACTTTTAACATAATACATAAAAATCTTTCTTCCTTCACAAGGGGAAAAAAGTCCATGCAAAATTGAGGCTAATGTTCAAACGGTAAAATTTAGTGCCCACACAATCTTTAACAAGTATACAGATATGCACAGTGTATATCTTGAAAGGTTTCATCTTCTCAATAGAAACAGCCATTCAGCGCTAGATTTAAAATAACAATGAAAAAGAATATATGTTTAAAAACATTAGAAGATAGGTTGGGACTCTTACAGTAAACTTAATTCCTGGCTGTGATCGAATCCCCAGCTGCTTGATTTCCAGCTTTGCAAAGAAGCAAGTAACTCGAGTAGGTGTAAACACCAAGTATATGTTAGTATCTTCTTTGGGACGGATTTTGAGTTCCCAATTACTAGTTAAACGTTCTTCTGATCCGAATATACTTTGCAGCTATAAAAACAAAGACATAGAAGCGAGTGACTAGAATAGGAAAAACATACAGTAATATGACTTACTTCACTGGTAACCCAAAATTAACTTTTTCAAAGCCTGGATTAACACAGCTGACAATGAAATGCTTAATATGCAACAGAAAAGATCAAGTTCAAGATATTTTATAACCCCACAGTGAGCAAATCTATGCGTCTCAGTTTAGAGCACAGAGTCCTGGGCCTTCAATCCACAATACGGTAAGGCTGAGCTTAACCAGCACTACATTAATGTCCTCTCAGTTGAAGGTTTTAGATATCGGATCTGAACATATAGGGGATATAAAGGTATGCAGACTACGTAACAAAAACTTCTGTGGTTGTGTTAATTCCCAAAAGCCAATTCCAGTTTTTGTTTCCTCCCTCCCTCAAGTACACCTTGAAGTGAGGTCTGGATTCCCCCCTGCAAGAGGTGCCATTGACTGTTCACTCCACCAGGTATTGGCTCTGTTGTGCTACAGCAGCTTAAAAGAGCTGTACACTGAGCTCCAATTTCCTGCAGCACAGTTACAGTTTCTGCTCTCTCTAAGGTTGCCAGTGCTGCTTAAGCTCTGCTACCATGTCCATCTTGGCAGTCTCAGGGCAAATACTCATGCAGCCTGCTAGTCACTGACATTTATAAAGGAATAATCCTTCAGGGCAAAGACATTTTTATTACAAACATATCCTGACAGCTGTTATAAACATTAAAGAGAAATTTTAATGACAGTTACCTGGAAGCAGTCTTGATCTGGGCCTCTTATCAACAGTCTTAAATGCTGGGTCACAGATGGAGAGTCATTTCTTAGAGTTAACTTCTGCTGGCTGAAAAATATGAAGTTTAGTTTTATTTTACAGCAAATGTAAGTTATCTGCCTATGTGTATTCACTGAAACAATGAAAATGGGATAGCCAATTTTAAAAAAATCACCTCTTGGTACAACAGAATACACTAGCTAGAAAGTTACTCCTGTATTTTCAAACCTACAGACCTTACAATATTGTACACGATTTACACATCAATCCTCATACAGCAAAACAACCTCAAAATATATATATAAATACAGCTTTTCTGAAGGTCAAGTACTGTACTTAACAGCTTGAACTTTTAAAGCAAGCAGCAGTTGTGTGAAACAAAAATTTCTTAAAAACACACTTTAATATACAGTTATAGTTAGATTACTCAGAGCCACCTAGTTATGCAGAAACAGTCTTGTGTGTAGTCTGGCCCAGTAGTCTGTTCCCTGGAACAGCTACAAAGCAGTAAATTAAGGATAACTTTTCATTTTCATGTACTTTTCATCATTACAGAACCACTGAAAGTTACGGCTGCTTGGCAGCACCAGACTGACCAAAAGGTAAATTACTTCTCTCTGACATATCCTGGCATTGACCAGGTTTCTGGTACTCAGATCCTTCCCCAACAGAAAAGGGAAACCTCTCCAGCAAGAAGAGCTTCTGACAGCAAGTGTCTCTGTCATTTTAACAAGTCAAAAAACAATCACAGAAGGATGTGATAAGCTCTAAAACTGGTAAAACCATCAAGGATGAGGACGGATCACGCAGTTAGAATCAAAGAGGAGTATGGAGAGAGAGCAAAGCCTCTCCTAAGTTTTCAGTGGTAGATACTGTTTTGTACTCTGTTGGAACAAAAATTTTTAAAATCATTACAGATTCCTAAAACCAATGGTGAATCAAAGCTTCTTCAGGAAGAACAGAAAATAAAAAGGTAGCAGCATACAAGAAAGAGAAAGTAATTCCCAAACACTAAACAGCCAAAACCACTATGATAGAAATACACTATCTTAACAAAACAGAAAAATAAGAATATAGCTGTCAGACATGGCACTTGGCTACAAACATGGATCACTTTACAACAACTGGGAACATTATTATATTCCTCAAAAAGCTCAGTGTCAAAACAACAGCGGATTAGTCTCTGAAGTAATACAGTAAAGTCCAGAGGTCTGCAAAACTCGCAGCCTTTACATACAAAAGTGTATCTAGACATGAACAGCTTCACTAAATCATGGAATACTGAAGCTGCAAATTTGAAACTAAAAATGAACTAATCTGAAGGATAAAGTAATTAGAATTAGGGATGCAACGATCCTCCATCACTAAAATTTTTAACATTGGAACACATTTAAACTCAAAAAAAATTAACTCAGCGATGTTCAACAGTTTATGCTATTCGAATAGCCCAATTACACTACCAGACTGGATTCTTCTACTCTTAATGGATGAACCGAAGAAAAATAAGCATAGAGATTTATTTCTAGTAAGAAAAGTGTCAAAAGAACCAACAGAATTTTTCCAGCAACTTACTTGGAAAATATTTTCCACTACATTTCTACTTACATAAGACACAAGTCTTAGAGAATCAGATATTATTGTAACAATAACTAAAAAGAGTCCTGAAGTACACAAAAAACTCAAACAAGATCACAGTTTGCTTCCGAAAAATTATTGCACAAAAAAACCTAATTGTAATATACTGCTTCTCTCATCTGAGACACAAATGAGCTTCGTCTATCACCTGTGGATTATTAATGTGAATAGGGACAGTATGGAAATTTTACTTCAAGTGCAAATTAAAAATACTTAACATGATATTCTATATGAACAGCTGCCCAACTTATACTTACACTGATGCTCCAAGTGTTACTCCTCCCCAGGCAATGAACTGCTTGTTGGAGAGAATGGGTGGGATGTCTAAGCAGCCAGCAGCTGCAGACACAGCTCTGTTTTCCTCAGGCACCACCACACCTTTTATCACCACTTCATACTGAGGCCCAGATGGAAGCACAAGGACTTTCAAAGTACTTTAAAAATAAATAAATACCATTAAATCCCACCACAGAACAAGATTAGCTGATGAAAACAAAACATAGCTGAGAAAGATAGTGTCAATAGGCCTTTTTAAACTCTCCTTTTAAGGGGAAAATACAAATACTTTTTTTAATTTTATGACAAAGGCCAGCTTTAGGCATAGCAAAATTTCAATACGCATACCACATGTACCTCAAGCAATCTTCTGAAGTATTCAATCTTGAAATGGTTCAGGTAAGTATTTCAAAGGCTATATAGCCAGGCAAGTAATGTTTCGCCCATGCTAACTTCAGATTATTTTGACAGACTAATTTTGATGAGAAACAATGTCTGGCTGTCTCTATGGATATCAAAGAGATACTTTTTCAAATATCTGTGAAACATCAATGCAGTTTTACAAGTATGAGATACCCAGGAGCGCCAAAATCAAACCCTGAATCCTGTTCACAACAGTAGCATTTCTCAGCCACAAGCCCAAGATTTTTTCCTCACTTTATTTCCTGGGATTGCTGACAGATATTACACTGAGTCCACAAACAGGGAACCAGACATCAAGCTTTTAAAGAACAGGCGGAAGCATTTGCTATAGGACAGATGCACTTAAGAGTCGGGAATGAAACTCAAAAACCTTCAGCCTAGCAGTCACTACTGACACAGCCCTGCATCTCATCAGTAGGGAACATGAACTCTTATCACTGCTTCAGTTAGCTTATTAGTTTTTTGGCAGCATTTGCAAGTGGACTGCAAAGTTTCCAACCCTACTGAGTACCTAAGGTTGTAAAGTAAATCAGTCATGCATAAGGCCACGGGAAAGAAAAGCTTAATCACCTTGTGTGTCTATCCATTAGGATCACACTGACATTAGCACAGAACTTCCTGTGGTTTAATTAAATGCCCTGGGTAGGCCCACTTAAGCTAGATAGTGAAGTTGAACATATTTTGGACAGATTCCTCTGTCCATTCTTGCTCTGTTACAGCAGAAGCTGGAAAACACACAGCGAGAGAGGAAAAGCTGCTCTGGAGAAATTAGTCTGACCCCTGCAATTGCCAAAAATCTCTTACATGACACCAGAATGGTCACTTGAACCAACCAAGTCTATTTTGCAGACCAGTGCTAATGCACAAAAATGTAAGTGCTTACATCTGCAAAGGGAACATCTACATTAGTGTTGCACAGGATTTACAGCCAAAATTTGTTTGATTATGGCAGACAAAATTAATGAATACTTTCGATCCTGATCTGTGCTTGAGATTTTTTTCTTATGCAAAATAGAAGTAACATTTCCCTTATCTCAGTGGGGTGAGGAAGACGGAAGCAACTGAAGGGGCTGCTGAAGATACATATTTTAAAGCTTTGCTATACTTTAGAAGCAATTACCATATAAAGGGCTTCAGGGAATTACTCCATTTATTTACACTAAACAAGTCTCAGGACATCTGTTGATCTGTGATGGGAAATATTAGCTACTCATTAAGCTATGTACAGCAAGCAGGGAATCTATGGAACAGGTGAGCCTTAGCAAAAACCTACTTTGTAATGACTGAAAATCTAATGAAAACAACTGAAGTCAAGTTTCCCTTGTGGGTAAAACTTTCAATTTGTTCAGGACCTTAAGGTCAAAAGTAGCTCTGTTTAAAACAGGCGGTATCAAGTCAGTCATGTTACCTTTCTGTGGTTGTTACATTTTTTGGAAAAAACAAGACAGTCACTTCCTGTTCTTCTCCAGGAAGAAGGAAAAGATCCTCAGGTTCCACAGTAAAGCAGTTGTCCTGACTTGATGTCTGAAGGTGGGCAAAGGAAAAAGGGAGGGTTAGTTAATTATTTTAAGGGAGTAAACATTTCTACAACATAAAATACAGCTTGGTTATGCATCTGTTCCACATACAGTTCAGACAATTCAAGTATACCTAGCACCTTGAGAACTTTCCCATAACCCTGCACTAGTTAAACTCTTCTAAAGTTGGGCACTACAGTACAAATACCTCTAATAGAGGTGTCTTAAGGTATCAGCTGTGTATACAACACTGAAGAGGCCACAAAGAGATTTAAAGAATTCAACAGTAAGTACAATATGGCAATGGTACACCACTAGTGAAGTACCATCACTAGTCTCGATGGTGGTACCAACCATTACTGCTATCAATTAGTAGCCAGTATCATCACATTGATGTGGCATTTGTGATACCAGTAACATATCCTATTTACACAGCCTCCACTCCAAGAAACAATGGGCTCACAACTCTTTAAAATAAAAAAAATAATAATTTAAAAAAGGGCAGAGGATGGGACCTTCTCCTTCTGTTGACTTTGAAATGCTAGCTTCAAACGTGTCTAGTTACCTTTCAGTCTGGGACTATACTTTCCACGGACTCCCAAGAAAATTGAAGTCAAGTAAAGGGACCACATATCTGAAAAGAACTTGCTTCATACTTGAGTTGGCAAGACATCCAGTGAAAACTCATGCAGCCTTCTTAGAAAATGAAGATGCTTCCCCATGTTAATATTCCTCTTTGCTCCAAATGGGCTTTACTCCACTAACTAATTAACATCTGCTGTGCAGCACGGGATTCACTACTTCTACGTATTTATTATACGCTTGTTAAAAATCATAAAAGGACGTTTGTTAAAAGAACTATAACCAAAGGTGAGCAACAAAACTCCCATATGCTTTTTCCAGTAACATGAGCTAATCTCTTTACCATTTATCTGTCATTCTCTTTATGTAAACTTTTAGACCTTTGGTCAAATCACACAGTTGAGCTAGGATCCCAAGGCTCAGCTCTAGTTTCAATACAACATTAATGGCACAAATTCATTATTTCAAGAGGAAGAAGCCAACCTACCTTAACTTTCAAATATACACCAATGTTTCCAGCATTTTTCAAGGGCAGCTGCTGTTTGGATGTTGAACCCACGCTAGTACACAGTTTCATTTTCTGGAAAAAGTAAATAAGTGTGTACGTATACATGCATAAACATATACATATAAATAATAAAACCAAACATGACAAAATAAGTAGGCCGGAAGAGGCAAACTATTCTTAACAGACACTTTGTAAATACATGCAAACCTGTAAGTCCTTTGGAGCATGTATCCTTGCTGTTCCAGCTCTTGCTCGGAGAGGAATACTCTTAATCACGCTGGTAGGTCCTGGACTATCCACTTCCACATCAACTCTTGCCAAGAATTCGTCCGCTGGACCCAAGGAATCTGGGAACAATTCCATGAGTCACAAAAGCAAGCAAGTCTTCCAGCAGCAAAGGCCATTCCTATAGATGTGTCTCACTTCAGCTACTGTCCAAGCCTAACATATTAACGATGTGGGGATATTAACAGAAGCTCCTCGGTTACCCTGGCAATACCTTTTTTCTTTTAAACGAAGTCTCGCAAGATCTTTTTTAAGAGTTTTACCTTTCTGTCAAATGTGGCTGAAATTGTCCGTAAAGCAAACAAAAAACCATCTTAGCATACTAGCCAAATTAGTTGATATAGGTGCTATTTACTATTTAGGAAGCCAGAAAAACTCAGAGGTTTCTTCACATTTCTTGTCTATTCTGCAGTCAATGTAATGTTTTCTTAAGTGACGATTTAATTCTCTCAGCAAAAGGAATAAAGCAAACTGCACACATCTTGCAGCAGATAACCACTTTGTGGGGTTTGATACTTAAGTATAAATACCCCTGTCAACATCTAAAAGAGTAAGACACTGAAGTATTCTGCCTCCTTCAGTTACTAAAACTGAATGTGATATTTGAAATACTACAACACAAAAACCAAAGATGGAAAGTTTCATTTCAAGTTTGCAGCCTGCTCTTGCAATGCTCACACATGCATGCATTAATAGCCAAATTTGGTTTAGTTTAAATGAAAATCAAGTTTCTATACCTGACCAAGAAAGTTGTTTCTTAGGTGCATGGAACAGAACCCAAACTGTTAAAGCTTCAGGATCCTGGAAAAGAAATCAATTGAGTCATTTTAAGTGAGGGAATTATTAAAAAAAAAAAAACCAAAAAAAAACCCACAAAAAAAACCAAACAAAAAAACACCCAAACCTGTAGCAACAAAACTATACTGCTCAAATAGGTAGACTCCCCAAAAATCATTACTGAAAACAGATATTCAGAACTGTCATTTCAGACAGCAAGTAACAGGAAGAATCAGTCAACAATAAACTACTCACTTGGCCATCATAGCTCGCATGTATCACATGATTTACAACTGATGGAGCTGCTGTCTGAGAACCTGCATCCATTTGGAGCAATTGTTCATTAGAAGGATTAAGTAGTTCCTTGGAAAACGTAAAGCAACGCCAAGCTACTGCATTCTGTCAAAGAAATAAAGTATTAGAAGTATTACATCTCTTAATTGTCAGTAACAACGACACTGACAAAAGTGAGGGATGCAAGGTCATTCTGAATGACCAAAGTAGTTTGGAAAAAACACTCAAAGATTAGCCTGTAGTTTCTGTTGGTATGTGATAGTTCAGCAAACTCTCTAAAATTAGTCAGAAACCCTTCTGCAGTAAAAAGGAGACAAACTAGAACTGGTTAGTTTAAGTCTTCAGGAAGTTTGCTGTTCAAGATCAAACCTCACTGGTCACCAAGACGACCTGATCCAATCTTAACATAAGCATAAAGTCAATCCTTTCTGGTCCTCCCAGATAAGGAGATAAGACCAGCTCTTCCTACAGCACAACAGCAGCCAGCCCAGCCAAAAACTCAAAATCTACATTTCCATATAGATACAGAGAGGAGCATATTTTAGCCTGTAATGCCAATACAGGCTATTATCGCCTAGTGGGAGACAAAGCAGAGTAATGGGTCTTCCTCTTTTTGCTCCTGCAGAGGAAGAAAGAATATGTTAAATTTGATAGGAAGCAAGTTTGGCTGCTTGTCTGAGCAGTCAGCTATTCCTCTTCAACAGTGGAATACATCTCTAACTTCTCAGAGGGAAGGTTTAGGCAACACAATCCATCTGCTGCCTTGTGCTCTTAAAAAAAAAAAAAAAACAACCACCAAATCACAAACCAAAAAATCCCCAAAAACCCTCAAAAAACCCACCAACCCAACAAAAACACCACCACCACCACCACCACACCAACAAAAAAAAGCCCCACACCAGTCACAAAAGCATTTTTGTTGGTACCATTACAGCTGTATCAGATTACCACTCTGCAAAAAAAAACTTCCTGGCTAACCAAAGATTTCTTGGGAATCTTACATCAACAGTCCAGGGTATGTTTCTTAATGACATATAACAAAGTGTTTTGGTATGAAAAGTCAGTATCACAAGCAGTTAGCTTTCACATACAGGAAGTTTACTGTACTTACTGCATTAATAGTAAGTCTAATGGGCACGAAAGCATGGGTTTTGTTGATAAGTTTTAGTGGAAGAGCCTTCCAACTGCCAGAAGTCAAGTCACCAAAATCCAGATAATCTCTTTTTCCTATGTCCACCTGGTTTTAAGGCAAAACAGAACCCATCAGGAAGGAAAACCGTGAAAACGCACTACCATACAATAGCACTATGAAAGTAAGGATTTCCCTACTCCATCTTGTTAGTGCTATACCCGCATACCATACACACCTCCTGTCAGGGCTAGGAGGAGCCTAAGAAACATTTCCTATGATATCAAAGAGAGTTACATCCAATTGTTTTTTTCCTTACATATTTTCCCTCAATTAATTAAGCCAACATTCATCCGCCAAAGCCCAGTACACAATCAAATTATTTTGGCTAATTTAAAATAAAAATACATTTAAACCATGATTATTACTAGCAAGTAAGAAGTCATCATAAGACAGTTAGCAAGTTAAATGTCACGAAAATAACTAAGGAGTAATTAATTTTTTGTTAGTGTAAAATCAACTGAGTGTCATGATCTGCAGTGAAAGATGGCTTTTATTTAGAACTTTACTAATATAACAAGACATGCAGAGATAGAGCAGAGGGTTGAACTTTAATTTAAATATGAAGCAAGTTTGAATGGACTATACCATGAAGAACATGGAGAATGATGGATTTTTATTTTTTTTACAAACTACACATAAAAAATGGATTAAAAATTAAACATAAATTTATGGAAGAAGATATATATCTTTATATAATATAATATAAGAA